CCAGAAAAGCTAGTATAATACAACACACGTAAGCAAATCGAAAGAAAGTCAGTTGTAGTGGCGTAGGTAAAGTCACTAGATTTCTGTGATTTGTTGTAGTTTGTCCTTGTTAGCAACGAATAGGAATCACCCACTACTGGGGGGCAATGAGTGCTGAATTCTCGTACTAAACAACAGAATGTCACAAGCTTTTTATTTTTGAGTAATTGTAATAGGCCTTATAGCTCATATAAGATGTGTTAAACACCAAAAACTCTGAACAAATGTTGGAACTTTCAAAAGTTTTCCATTTTGCAAAAAAAAAAATTCTCAAAAATATTCCAAACAAAGTTAGAAATTTGCTAACATTTTCTAATTTCCAAACAAAATTTGAAATTTCTGAACATATTTAAAACACGAGAAAATGGAAAAGCTAGAAAAAACGGTAAAAGAAAACTGGACCGGATGCTTTGGAAATTTCCCAAAACTTGAACCCACTATATATTGTCTACAGTATCTATTGGGCCGTCCATTTTTACCACCCTTCCGTACCAAAATATAAGACGTTTTTGCAGTTCAAGTGATAGGAACAACATCCGGACTGATTTGTCTGTTATTCCTAAAAAAAAAACTCATTCGTCAGCTCATTACGAAGTATTCATCTACGCATGAAATTCCAAACGACATATATTCACCCAGACTAACAACACTGTCTCCTGTACTAATCTAGATTGCATTATCCACTCGCACGGTCGCGCCATCACTACCGTGTCTGATTTCTTACTAGAGTATCATTTTTTACCGGCCTTCAGTGGTGAAGGATATGGAAATGGAGTTCCTGGATTCATCTTCAGCAATGTTTCCCAGCGTCGAGGCCTTGGTCGTGTCGGTGGCGAAAGTGCTGTTCGTGTTCGCGCCGGAGGCGGAGCTGGACGCCGAGCCGGCGGTGCTCTTCCACCGGCCGACCCGGCCGTGGACCGCCGGCTTCCCGGGCTTGGGCAGCGTGAAGGAGTCGCTGGACAGCATGAGGTGCACGCTGTACATGTCCGGCCGGTCCGACACGACGGCCTGGCAGCACAGCAGCCCGAGCTGGACGCACATCGCCACCTCGCCGGCGTCCCACCCGGACAGGCCCGGGTCCACGATCTCCAGTGACCGCCCTTCCTCTGACAGTTTCCATGTCTGAAAGTTTCACCATAGAGATTTATTCTTCAGCACATCACATTATCACATGACAATGTTTAGTTATCACTTATAGTCACTATTTTCATATTGACAAAGTAAAATGCAGGTTATGCAATCTTCTTTTGAATAATGAGAAATGCTCACGTAATTCAACAGGTCGACTTTTTCGTCGCCGAGATGCCGGTCGATGTTCTTCCTCCCGCTGACGATCTCCAGCACGAGCATCCCGAAGCTGAAAACGTCGGTCTTGGTCGACAGGTACCCGTTCATCGCGTACTCTGGAGCCATATAACCACTACAAAATCGCATCATTTCCTGTTATTTATTTACACAATCATAAAAAACCTACTGAACGGAAGTGGTACATGTGTTTGGGGCTTACTACGTGCCAGAGATCCTGAATGTGTTCACGTGCGTGGCGTCTTCGAGGAAGAGCCTCGCCATGCCGAAATCCGAGATCTTCGGGTTCAGCTTCTCGTCGAGGAGCACGTTGCTCGCCTTGATGTCTCTGTGGATGATCTTCACCGGAGACTCTTCGTGGAGGTACAGGAGGCCCCTTGCTAGTCCGAGGATTATTTGGTACCGTTTTGGCCAGTCTAGCTGCACCCTCTTCTCCCTGTCTGAAAGTAAGCGATTCAGTGCAGGTTCAGATAACAGAGCAGTTCTTCTGTGTTCTGTATACTGTTTTTCCATTTGCAGGAATTGACTGTTATGCAGTTGTAACATACTGGCGTATGCTGTTTATCTAAAAAGTCAGATTGCTTATGTCAAAGCTTAACATTGTAACGAACTCCAGCAGTTACTTTCTGTATTTGCTTGTAATTTTTTCAGAAGAAAAATGATTTAATTTGCAGAACAGAGTAAACTCAGTTAGCTCATTATTCGAAATCATTGCTCATACAAGACATTATAGACAATTTTTTTTTATTCTACTTCCAACTTGTCTCGCATTGTGAATGCATTGCTTCACTTTGTAAACTCAGACAGATTACTGCTTGAGATCCTTTCATGTAGACTGCAGAAACATATGACTCCCTCTGATCCAAATTAATTGACGCTGAGTTAGTATGACTTCGTACTAAAGTTGTACTAAGTCAGCGTCGGTTAACTCGGATCGGAGGGAGTATTGCGTGTTACCAAATTGCGCAAAGATATTTGTCATAAATTTACGTAGTGCATTTGTTTTTGTTCTGCATATGCACAACTGCATCTGCTTTGCTTGCTGATATAAGACGAAGAAGAATCGTGATCAAGAACTGGTCTGCTCTGAATATGACATTCCAACCTTCCAGGTTAAGAAACGAGGAACTGCTTCTGATTCAGTCAAGGTCAATGATAATACTTGGAACCGGCTGTTATATGAGGACGGCAAGGCCAACTTTAATACTAGTTGATATCAATTGAAGACTTGCAACAGACTGAATGCTCTGTCTGACCAAACTGCTGTTGGCACGAACATTCAATTGCCCGTTTCGACTGAAATTTCAGGCACCACCGAATTTACTGAAAATCCATTAGTGATTTCGGTCTCAGTTTGGACCGAGGGAGAAAGTTTTCATCAAAATACGAAATCCAACCAAGATTTGGCGCGCAGTTTGGTAAAAAACAATCTGAATTCCGTTTTTTTGAACTCTGAACTGTTTTTGACTGAATTGTAAGCTGATCGAGGTTGGAAGGATAAGCTGGGGCGATCGAGGGTGACTGACCGAAGAGGATGTGGTCGAGGCTGCCGTTGGGGAAGTAGGGGTAGACGAGCATCTTCTGGCCGGCGGCGGCGCAGCAGCCGAGGAGGGAGACGAGGTTGCGGTGCTGCACCTTGAGCAGCAGCCGCACCTCGTTGAGGAACTCCCGCACCCCCTGCCGCGACTCCAGCGACAGCCGCTTCACCGCGATCTCCTGCCCGCCCTCCATCACGCCCTGCACATGCATGGAGATTTCATCAGCGATCGATCCAAGCGCGCTCGCGCCGCAGGGAGACGGCGAGGAGGTTGCTTGCCTTGTAGACGGGGCCGAAGCCGCCGCGGCCGAGCAGGTTGCCGTCGGAGAAGCCGGCGGTGGCGGCCTCCAGCACGGGCAGGTCGATGAAGAGCGTCCACTGGTCCCCCTCCCGCCCCGACGCGCCGGCGCCGTCGCCGTCCCCCGCACCGCCCCCGGCGCTCTTCCTCCGGCGGCCGCAGCACGCCCACGACCACGGCGCGGCGGCCGGCGGCATCTGTGCTCTAGCGAGCTAGCTAGCACAATCAAAGACCAACGCCGCGACGCCGCCGGAGATAACAGAGAAAGCTCCACCCTGCTCGCCCACGCGCCGAACTGGCGAGCAGAAAAGCTCTGCGGCGCGACGTCGAGGCCGCCGGCCGGACCGGGCCACGCGCGTACTAGTAGCGAGGATTAGGAAACGTGACGTGCTCACATACCACTCTCTGTGGCTGCTAGCTAACCGGCGCAGATGGGTTCGGCTGTCGAGCAGCAGCGAGTGACAAGTGTGTCCTAGCTGCTGCGCTCGCTGTGGAATTCAACGTCAACCGCGACGACGGGTCTCCGTCCGGCCGCCGCTGTCGTGTGTGTGTGCGCGGGCGACATGGGCAAGCGCGTGCTTGACTTCGCTCCCACGGTCAAGCGGCGGTTAGCCGTCGTGTCGTGCGGGCGGCCGTCGTGCGGGCGGTTAGCTCCTACACTATTTTCTTTTGTCGAATTGAGGGGCGTGCCCCCGATTCCATTTCACTTTTTTTTCAGGGCAAATACGAGTTTTATTCCATATAAATATAAATAGGGTTACACTCAAGTAGCAAACGTTTTTGAATACATGAAGATCCACGGTGTAGCCATACAACAGTACTCCACTCAGTTCAAATATAGCCAGCCAAACGATTTACTACCCTATTTTGTTAACGACTAATTTTTTGAAAATTAAACTCTCTGTCAAGTATCAAGAATTTAATCCTAGTAACTAAATAATCATACGCTGAGCGATCCAAACAATCACCCATGGAAGGTGCTAGTGCTGTCGATGAATCAGACTGCACAATGATTGGGCCCTCCGAGTATTGCTTTGCCAATGCCATGCCTTGCATCAACGCATGAATCTTGGCCTCTAGAGCATCTTTACAGTTGAATAAAACCCAGTATGCTGCGAAGATAACACTCTCATCCTGTCTCTGTAGGATCATACCTGCGGCCGCCGAACCATGGCCGGCTGAAAAAGCTCCATCCATCGAAAAACATGTTTAAGACAACCAGCAATGCAGCGCACGGGGTAACCACAACTCTGTCGCCTGTTAGAGCATCTCCAACAATAGCCATATAATACGGCACATGCCGTTTCTAAGGCATATAGGAGGTCTATATAAACGGATTTGCTAATTAACATCTACATGAAATTTACTTATATCACATCTAAGTTGTGGATCACACAATCCATTGCTTAAAAAAATTCGTGTTTATTTTGATTCTCCAACGGCAACCCAATAGTAACACTTTTACAATTTTCTTTAGGCAGCCCTAAAAAAGGTTTAGTGTGCGGCAAATATGTGGCAGAGGCGCTGCTGCCGCAAACCCTTTGCGCGCGGTCATTTCCCCTCCGGTGCCTAGCCGGAAACCGACGGATTCGCTGGCCGCCACGCGCCATGGCCGGTGCCTTCGACCCGCCATCGACCCCGAAACTGTCGCTTCCGCTCCCGTGCTCCTCTCCGTGGTCGACGGAGGCCCTGCCACCGCCGCCCATGGTCGCCGTGCTGGATTCATCGCCCGCCGACCGGCGAAAGTCGCCATAATGGACGGCGGCAAGCCGAAGAAGACCCCTGCCGCCGCCAAGCCTCGTGGAGGAGCAGCGAAGCGGCTGCCACACGACCCGTCGGCTTTGGATCTAGCGAAAAAGTTGAAGGCTATGGTGGCGAAGAAGACAGTTGCTGCTGCCGTAGCGGTGTCTATGGCACCGCCAGCACCGCCTCCTCCTTCTGTCGTATCACCGCCAGCGGCCGATGTGGAAGAGTCATTAACACCCACGGTCACTATCACCGCTGCCCACAACGTGCTCGATACTATGTCCCAAAGGATAGAACAAATGTTTCTTTATTTTTCTTTTGATTTTGCTTGTGGTTGATGTATGAAATGATTCACCCATGCGGTCGACGAGGTTGCAGTCAGAGAAGCCGGCTGTGGCAGCCTCCAGCACGGGCAGTTCGATGAACAGTGCACACTGGCCCCCTCCCGCCCCGATGCGCCGGCACCGACGCTTTTCCTCCAGCAGCCGCAACACGCCCCCAACCACGGCGCGGCGGCATCTGGGCTCTCGTTCGCTAGCAAGCACAATCAAACACCAACGCAGCGCCGCCGGAGACAACAAAGAAGAGAAAGCTCAACCATGTTCGCTCACACGCAAAGCAGCCAGCAGAAAAACTCTGCGACGCGACGACGGGGCCGCCGGCCGGACCGGGCCACGCGCCTACTAGTAGCGAGTACCAACTAGGATGTGGCGATGAATTTCTAGGCATGGGAGGGAGGAAACGTGACATGCTAGTGTTGGAGTAATTATGCATCTCTGGGATCCATTAACAGAAACTGATTGCGTCTAGATCACACAATATTCAAGAATAGAGATGGGTTTAGGGATTCTTTACATGTCACAGCAGTGGATATGATCGCCTGCTCGGTGCAGGCTTGAGGCAGGGGTGATGTAGTCGAAGTAGAGGTTCTCCTCGACGTCATGTTGCCTTCAAGATGCCATCGGCACTGGCCGGGGACAGCGGCGGCGGCTGGCTTAGGTCTTCCCGTCGCTGCAGCGCTCCCCCTGGTCGGATGGGGTGAGAATATCGGGAGGAGAGTAAACCTTACATGAATTGTGATCTCGCAGGTGGCCAGCTCTCTCCTGTATCCTTTTAATATGGCGCAGGCAACAGGGGACCCAAAACCCGAGTTGGTTTTTGGACGCTCTCAATCAGGCCGCGTTAGTTCTGATCGAGGCTCACGTACATTGGTACGTGGACCCCTTCACTTATTGTTATCCTTTTTTTCCGTTAGACTAATAGATCTAATGGGCCTGTTTAAATCAGAACCAACATTCTCCCCCTTGATTGTTAGGCTTAACTTCATTCGACCATTCTAAATAGGAATGATGTACCAAAGTGAGGTGTTGCAACAGCTCAAAACGCCATAGAACCTCAACACTTATAGCACACCCGCCTATTTTAAAATGGAAAACATTTTGCTAATTGGGGAGTGGTTTATTTTAATGGTCCTCTTATTCCAAAATCATAAGGCTTCCAGTAGTCCCATGCCGGCAACATGCTCACGAAAAATACTGGGTGGTAAGCCTTTTGTTAGCAGATCCTCAAGCATATGCTTCGTTCTTATATGTTTAACATCAATTGTTTGATCATGGACTCTATCTTTCACAACACGATACTTTATTTCAATGTGTCTGGCAGCACCACTGGACCTGTTGTTACTCGTATAGAAAACTGCGGGTTCATTATCACAGTACAATAAAATTGATTTAGATATGCGGTCAACCACTTTAAGTCTGGGAATAAAATTCTTTAGCCATACAGCCTACCCGGTGGCCTCATAACATGCTACAAATTCTGCCTGCATCGTAGATCCAGCAGTTAACGTTTGTTTGGTGCTTTTCCACGATATAGCTCCTCCCGCGAGTGTGAATATATAACCTGACGTGGATCTCTTTCTATCAACACACCCGACAAATTCAGAGTCTAAATAACCAACAATTTCTAGGTTATCAATTCTTTTATATGTAAGCATGAAATCCTTTGTTCCTTGCATATAACGCAAGACTTTCTTTGCGGCCTTCCAGTGGTCCGGTCCTGGATTTGATTGGTATCTGCCAAGCATCCCGGTTATAAAACATAAATCTGGGCGTGTACACACTCGAGCATACAAGATGCTTCTGACAGCTGAAACATATGGAACCGACTTCATCTGATCAATTTCATATTGGTTCCTCGGACATTGAAATGTCCCAAACTTATCACCCTTAACTATAGGAGCAGGTGAGGGTGAGCACTTATTCATATTGATTTTTTAGTACTCTCTCAAAGTATGCATTTTGAGATAGTCCTAACGTTCCTCTTGACCTATCTCGATGAATCTCGATGCCGGGGACATACGAGGCTTCACCAAGATCTTTCATATCAAAACTGGATGAAAGAAAATTCTTGGTCTCATGCAGCGTATCCTTATCGCTACATGCCAACAATATGTCATCAACATATAGGACTAAAAATGTGAACTTACTGCCTTTAAAACTTAACATATATGCAGTTGACCACAACATCTTTGGTGAAAACAAAAGTTTTGATAATTTTATCAAAATTGAGGTACCACTCTCTTGAAGCTTGCTTCAAGACATGAATTGATTTCTGCTACCTCTTGAGCACTGCGTTGGTTTTCCCCGAAAAGGAAGGGATGATGCAGCAAAGTAGCATAAGTATTTCCCTCAGTTTTTGAGAACTAAGGTATCAATCCAGTAGGAGGCTATGCGCGAGTCCCTCGTACCTGCACAAAACAAATAAATCCTTGCAACCAACGCGATAAGGGGTTGTCAATCCCTACACGGCCACTTACGAGAGTGAGATCTGATAGATATGATAAGATAATGTTTTTGGTATTTTTATGATAAAGATGCAAAGTAAAATAAAAGGCAATGAAAATAACTAAGTATTGGAAGATTAATATGATGAAGATAGACCCGGGGGGCATAGGTTTCACTAGTGGCTTCTCTCAAGAGCATAGGTATTCTACGGTGGGTGAACAAATTACTATTGAGCAATTGACATAATTGAGCATAGTTATGAGAATATCTAGGTATGATCATGTATATAGGCATCACGTCCGAGACAAGTAGACCGACTCCTGCCTGCATCTACTACTATTACTCCACTCATCGATCGCTATCCAGCATGCATCTAGAGTATTAAGTTCATGAAAACAGAGTAACGCCTTAAGCAAGATGACATGATGTAGAGGGATAAACTCATGCAATATGATGAAAACCCCATCTTGTTATCCTCGATGGCAACAATACAATACATGCCTTGCTGCCCCTACTGTCACTGGGAAAGGACACCACAAGATTGAACCCAAAGCTAAGCACTTCTCCCATTGCAAGAAAGATCAATCTAGTAGGCCAAACCAAACTGATAATTCGAAGAGACTTGCTAAGATAACCAATCATACATAAAAGAATTCAGAGAAGAT